GGGGTTGAGTTTTTGTCGCGTTTACGATTTGGGGTTTGGGGTTTAGGGCTTGGGGTTTAGGCATTCGAGCTGGCTGTAGGAATGGCCAGTACCAATCATGATCGTCGTGGCCACCATAATTCTCATCAACATAGTACTCTCATGTTAGTGTATAAACATATGTCTGTATATGTATATATACAATGTTGGTACGACTAGCATGCGTATTCCTATTGCGATTGCCATTATCAGAACCATTATCTACCTGTTGCTTATGCTATAGTTAATATGATTTACTTCCCATACTATTCTCATCATTGCTATCATTATTCATATTAAGTTGTGTTTAGTTTTTAACAATATACTTGCTGCTGTTAGTGTTACTATCATGACTGGAATTCGTATTATGTTGATGAATACCATAGCAATTGTTCATATTATGGCTATTATTATTATTATTCATTGTTATTGTTGTTGTAATTATGAAACTGCGACTATTGCTAATACTATTAGTATCCGTATCAGTATTAATATTATTACTGTTCGTAGTAGTACAGTAGTAGTAGCATCGGTTCATAGTCTGATTATTCGGCTTATCTAGTATTAACTACACATATTCTTACGTCACAACTGCCACCGTCACTTCCTTGGCCATCAATCTGTCACCACTGTATGGGAACCGATGCTAGTGCTGTTTACTTCGAACCATGGTAGCAACCGCGACGTGACGATCACTGCAAACACGGTAAGCACTGCCCCGGCGACGCTGCAAATGCTTCTGCTTCTGCTAGCCGCTCCCTACAATAAGCTCAGTCTGACTGTCTGGTGCTTAGTAGGGAATGGGGGAATGGATCCCTATGATAGTCCCTTAAATTCCCTTATAGTAGTCCCTATAACCCATTCCCCCATTCCTTACAATAAGCTCAGTCTGACTTTGGAGGGACCGTCCAAGCGCTACGACCTACGTCGAACCGGCTTAGCCGGTGCGGCAGGGAGGTTAAACGGGGGTTTCCGCAAGTCGGGGACCCAAATATAGTGCCCTAAATAGTAGGATCCTTATTATAAGGACCCCCAGAATAAGGCACCCCTTAGTTTCGGAAAACCCCTTAGTTTCGGAAACTCCCAAATGGTGGAGTGAGGGATGGGCGGGAGGTCCAGGGACACTTAGGCCAATGACGAATGCAGGCCCCTGATTTGCAAAAGCTCATCAGGGCCCAAGTGTTGGGATGGCTATTGTTTTAGGGTTAAGGGTTTAGGGTTTAGGGTTTAGGGTTTAGGGTTTAGGAGTTTAGGGTTTAGGGTTTATGATAATCCTTCTTGACCGAGGGGGGGCGATGCAGCACGGCCAAATCCCTGCACAGAGCAGAGGAAGTGAGTTGCGAGGAGTTAGCTTGGCATCGGTCACGGTTGAGATGTTATTCGCATCATGATATCTCACCTTGCTCACTACACTTTCAGGGCATATTCTCTGCAGCTATCGTTGCCCTAAGCCCTAAACCCCTAAACCCTAAACCTCTGAACCGTAAGCCCCAAGCCCCCGAATCCTAAACCGGGCTGCTCCGAAGCTAGACTTTGATCCAGATAATAGATGCTACAGCCGACGTTGGGCTGGGCTTACAGTAGGGTTTAGGGTTTAGGTCATGATGAGCACACCCGACATCTCTGAGACATACACACACACACATATACATATATATATATATATACACACACGCAGATGGATATACATATATGTAGACATACGGTTATGGATGTAAAACATGAAACCAACTTAAAGCACAGTCTGCAGCTTCGAATCTTAACCCTAAACCCTAAACCCTAAACCCTAAACCCAGACTTCACGGGAAGCTTCAATCCTCCGTACTCAAGCAACAAGGCATCAATTCGGAGGGCTTAAGGCTTAAGACCCCTTAAGGCCCCTAAACTCGAAAACCTCAGGATTGGGGTTTAAAGGTTCAGGGGTTTAGGGGTTTTAAGGTTTAGGGGTTTAAAGGTTTAGGGGTTTAGGGTCTAAAGCTCTGAGGATCTTGAAAGAGGACCAAAGGGTCTTGGGAGAGCAAAGAATGGCTGGGTTGTGAACTCGCTGATCCGGTTTCCTAGAACTAAATAGCTACGCGTCGGGACTAGATTTGAGGTTTAGGTTCTGTAGGGTTTAGGGTTTAGGTTCTGGGGTTTATAGACTACTTGAAAGAAGTGCAAAGGTTGCCAACTCTACTGGTTTGCTTTCAATCGGTGCGTGAAGGGATCTGGTGTGAAAGGTTGCCCGTCAAAGACCACGGGTAAAGTGGTGCTGGTACGTTGAGGTCAAGGTTGCAGCGGCGAAGGTACCTTGCGATGCAGAGTTGCGGGCACTAGCTTTACTGGGCTTTGAAGTAACCAGAGGGAAAAAGTATAGACTGTTATTTTATAATGACTCCGTTTAAGGAACAGGTCCCCCAAAAAAGTATTAAAGTATGGTACTCCAAAGCCCAGTTTACATTGGTTAAGGGTTGAGGGTTCAGTGACATTCCTGATGTTTCGTGGTTGATGTTGAAGGCGAGCCCTAAACCCTGAACCCTAAACCCTTCATGTCGTCCCTAAGGAACCTGGGCATCATCAACTGCTCCGGCATGGCTTCCCGAGATGATGACAGCTCCATGACTAGCTTTACTTTCCCTGAAGCTCTAAACCCTATAGGGTTTAGGGTTTAGGGTTTAGGGTTTGACCCGAATCCACAAAACCTTACGAACCCAGAACGTTGGGAGAGCTTCCACAGCTGAGCTCAGTAGCCCCGAAACCTGAACCCAGTCTTCCGAATTTGATTGCTTGTCGTAGTCCAGGACAAGCCGTTGTGAACAGGAACCTAGGCACGCTTTCCTTTGTTTTGAGATTTTGCTCTTCCTTATTCATAACAATAAAGATAAGCATGCAGATACCTACATACATATATACTGATAGATAGATAGATCGATAGATAGATAGAGATAGATAGGTAGGTAGATCGATAAATAGATATAGATAGGTAGGTAGATAGATAGATCGGTAGACAGACAGATAGATAGAAAGATACAGAGAGAGAGATATGTAGATAGATAGATAGATAGATAGATAGATAGATTGATTGATTGATTGATTGATCGATAGACAGATTTATACATAGATAGAAAGATAGGCAGATACATAGATATTGCAGATAATTAAAGATCGACTATATTGTATATAGTTATGACACACACACATGGCGCCTACCGCGAATCCTGAAGAACCAAAGGGCCTCACCTTCAATTTTAAGCTGTGTACAAAGCTCTGCACGATGTCGGCGGTTTAGGGTTTAGGGTTTAGGGTTTAGGGTTTAGGGTTTAGGGTTTATCGGTTCAGCAAAGGTGCGAGCGGGGTCGCCAGAGTCCCGGAAGTTCGGAACGCGACGCTTTGCACCTGGCCGCCTCGTAGGCACATGCTTCATTTCGACAATAAATAGGGTTTTGGGGTACAGTACACTATATCTATAATAAGGAACCACCAAAATGGTGTTGGTAATTGTTTAGGCCCCAGTATCAGGTCTGTGAAAATCTGGATCTTCTCTTGGCTTTGTTTTCATGATTTGTCATGACTATGTTTAGGAACATCGTGTTAGTAGAACAGCGGTCGCAGTAGTAGGAGTCGGAGACAGAGTCACAGCTGGGTGAGGACCACGAGTAGGAGTAGGAGGTGAGCAGGAGTGGGAGTAAGTAGGTGTACGAGTCGTAGTAGTCGTAGTATTTGAAGTGGTAGTAGTAGTAGTCGTCGTCGTCGTCGTTGTAGTCGTAGCCATAGTCGTGGTCGCAGTCGTAGCCGTAGTGGCAGCGGCAGTGTGGTGGGGGTAGTGGTCCTTAGCAAGCTGTACTGGTGGCAGTAGTTAGCTACTTACCGTAGAAGCCCAACTGCCTTCCTAAACCCTAAACCTTAAACCCTAAACCCTCAACTGCCCTTACACGTATACTCACTCTGGTCATACAAGGGCAGTATGGAGACTTTTAGGGCCTTTCTGGTCTTGGGTTTCAGCCCACCAGCCCGCAAAGCAAGCTTCTAAATAGTTTTAATCAAGACGGAAGAAACAGGAAACCCTAAACCCCAAACCCTAAACCCTAAATAGGACTGCATCAAGAACTGAGGCTTGGCTTTGGCCTGGGGTTCGAGGCTTGGGATTGGGCCTGGGACTTTCGGCTTCCGGCAGAACCCCATGACTACATGCCCTACCTACACTCTCCAATGCAGCAGGTTATCCGTTTTCTGGTTTAAGATGAACCCTAAACCCTAAACCCTAAACCCGAAGCCCTAAGCCCTAAACCCTAAACCATAGATCTCCAGCCCCTCGGGCTCGAAACTTGCAGGAGAAATCAAACTGAAGCTGTGTTTGAGGCTTACGGTTTAAGGGTTAAGGGGTGGTTTAGGGGTTTAGGGGTTTAAGGGTTTAGGGTTTAGGGGTTTAGGGGTTCAGGGGTTTAGGGTTTAGAGCTTCGTGGCTCGAAGGGGGGTAGGCCACAGGTTTAGCCTAGACCCTCCAACTACCCTTTAATAGACCCTAAATACCCACTATTAAGGGCCATAAGGACTCCATTAAAGGGCCTTCGGGGGGTCCTGGAGAGCTTGGTGGTTTCAGGGTTTAGGGCTTTACGGTTTACTTAGAGCTTTATGACGTTAGGGTTTAGGGTTTAGGGTTTAGGGCTTACGGTTTCATTAGAGCTTTATGACGTTAGGGGTTGGAGACACAAGCCGTTTGGCTCCGCATGCCAAGGCATGGTCCCCAAACCTAACGTTTCGGGTTTAGGGTTTAGGCTT